TCAAAATTTTATTTTTGTGATTTAACATATCAAAAATGATGAAATCATCCCTTAAATTCATCTTGGCAAACTAGAACTTGCTTGACAAGAATCAGAAAGTGCATACTAATCACCCAGATCCCAAGATCCTACATTTTTAGCTAGACTTGTATTTGTTAAAATCTACATCCAAGCTCTTTTCCCCCTCTTTTTCTGCCTTATAAAAACAGCAGGTATAATTTGTTCCTATCACATTTACATTTGGTTTGAAATGTATTAGGTTGTACCCAATAAGTCCAAGTGTCCAGAAGTTTAGTATCAGAAACGTGTCCTTTTGTCATTATTCTTAGTCTTAGGTAATTTGCAATCTCTTTCTTGTTTCATTGCTGAATAAATGTTAAGTAGAACCAGAAATAAGGTCCTTTATTGTGACTTGGAAGCCTAGTAGTTCATCTGTGTATTGTGTATAATGTTGATTTTATGTTATTCTCATTCTTCCATTGAAATGTCAGTAGGTATCTGATCACAGAAATGCCTTGAGGAATTCAGGTATATGTATACTGGTACTGACCTACCCAGATAAATGCATTAGACCCTAAAGTGTAATCAGAAAGTTTTCCAAAGAGTGTGTTCTGTCAGCTTGTATTATTGCTGGTTGTTCTTGCAGAAACAGGCACTAGTCAGGCCACCACCAGATCTGGTGACTGCTCTGATTTGCAGTGTGTGTGTATGTGTGAAGAGGGGGATCACATGGCTACACAGCCTGTGCCACTGTTTTCCATTTGGTTACTGCAGTTCTCCCTTTCACTTCTTTCATTAACTGAGACCTGAACCTGCCTTTCCCATATATTTTCCAGTGCTTGCTGTCAGCCTGGGAAGCCTGTAATTAAGTAGGTCATCTTATTCACCTTTTAAATACTGTTACTTCATTAACTCTCTTCTAGTTCTATGAAATTTCCTCAGCATTTCAGAAGTTGTTAGGAAACAAATTTAATGATTAACATTGCTGACTGCCACATCTTTCATTTATTTTTCTAATAATTCTTCAACCTGACATTTAAAAATAAATGTTTATGTTGCTGCTGTTTACTATCCTTTCATATTATTGATTTAATGGAAAGTATTTCAACATTACATAATGTGAAAAACACTCTTCGTGTTTTCCAAATATGCAATAGAAACATTTGCTGTTCCACATTCTTTTAGGCGATTCTGTTTTCCACATCTACTAGTAAAGCAGTGCTAGTATCTGCAATATCATTATCTCTGGTTAACATTCTTACTTTCCACGGCATATATATTTTTGCTTTTCTTTCTTCTAAGTTCTTAAATTATTTAACTCTTTAGTTGTACACTAACTGTTGTTAGGTTCATTTTCTTCTCCATTGTTTCATGTTTTAATGTGCTGCTTCCTCTTCTTTCAGAGAGCAAGATACAAGCTGGGGATGCAGATAATGAACAGACCTGAAGTGGTATAGCTGAAAGGGGTTGCCAAAACTTTGACTGTGAAATTTCAAAGGCAGGAATCTTTTGTTCCGAGGATGTTTTTTGCAGGTGTACTGGATCTGGCCTGGGATTAAGTTAACTTTCTCCACAGCAGTGATAATTGTGCTGTGTTTCGGGTATGTGGCTAAAACAATGTTGAAAACATGCCGATGTTTTGGCTGTTGCTGAGCAGTGCTTGTACAGGATCAAGGCTGTTTCCTTCCCACCCTGCACACACTCCCACCCCAGCAAGTAGGCTGAGGATGGGCAAGAATCTGGGAGGAGACACAGACAGGATAACTGACCCCAGCTGACCAAAGGGACACTCCATACTGTACGACATCATGCCCAGCAATAAACCTGGGTAGATAAAAAGGGTGGGATTGGGGTTGGCTTCAAAGAGCCAAAGACTGACCAGACATTGGTCTGCTTGGGGGCCTTGGTGAGTGATTGCCTTAACATCACTTTTTTTTTCCTGTTTCTATCCTCACTTGTTACATTTTATTAATTCTCATTTTTTCCCTTCACTTATTAAGCCATCTTTATCCTGACCCACGAGTGCTCTCTCTTTCTCTCCTATTCTCTCTCGTCTGTTTCTCCTATTCTCTCTCCCTGGGGAGGAGGTGGAAGGAGTGAGCTAGCAGTTGTGTGGGTGCTTACCTGCTGGCCAGGGTCAATCCATGCCTCCAGGATGTAAGAAAAATACATTAGAAGCACAGTCCCCAGGGGAATGAAGTACTTTTTCCAAGAAGCAAGCCAGGAAAGAGTCATTTGTGAAACCACAGACGAAAGGAGTGGGAGGAAAGGCTGAGAGAGCTGGGACTGTATGACCTTAAGAGGAGGCTCAAGGGAGAGTATCTTACTGATGTGTCTAAAAGCCTGCTAGGAGGAGTGAAGATGGAGACAGACTCACCTCAGTGCTTTTCAGTGAAAGAATAAGAAGCAACGGGCACAAACTGAAATACAGGAATATCCATTTAGGTTATTAAAAACCCTTTTTACTGTGTAGGTGGTCGAACATTGGAACAGGTTGCTCAGAGGAGTTGTGGAGTCTCCAGCCTCGGACACATAAAAAATCCAGCTAGACCCAACCCTGTTCTGAGTAGAAAGATGGGCTAGAGAATCTCCCAGCCTCCTCTATGTTGTGATTCTGTGAGAAGTCATGGGTGTTAAGTGACCCACAGTTTCATGGATCAAGCAACCAAGCACATAGTATAGATAACGTGGAATATCAGAGACCTTTGTCAGACAAAGGTGCAGCATTTTTTCCCAGTCTCTAGAATTACCTTTCAGCTCTGGATACACAAGATTTTATGATGAATTGTATTTTATCTTTATTTTACTTTTGAATAGAGTGATTACATGAGTCTTTTTAGTCTGGACCTTGAGCTTTTTCACTGGCAAAACTAGTACTTCTGCTTTGGCATAGAAAAGCACGGAAACCTGTCTCTTAGTACAGCATCGTTATTTTGGAACATACTGTAACTTGGCGTGTGTTCCTGCACCAGAGTTGTCTGAGACAGCAGAGTCTTGTATGAGAACTTTCCAGTTACAGACTAATGTGCAGAAGGCTGGTTCCTTATATCTGAGCATAAAATGACTCTACAGAAATGGATCCTGAAGTAGCAATTTCTGCTGGACACTGAATGTAAAACAATAGACTTTACGCAAGTGTTGTTTATAGTAGGAGTGCTAGTAAAATAGTTCCATTCATAAGTATCAAAACTAGTGTTTCAAGGTGACTTATTGCCCTGATTCAATGTGCTTTTTAGGTTCAACTTACTCACTTTACTGCTGGCCTTTTCAGTTGCTGACAGTTTCATAGGTAAGAGTTTATGTCTTTTCCTGGCAGTTCCTGGTTGAATGAGCCCAATTAGTCTTGTTGGCTTAGATTATTTGTTAGCTGTTGCTGTTCAGGTATGTATTTAACCAACTAAATCTTGATTGCTTGATTTAAAGAGAAAAGGAATAGGAGTGGTCCAGCTTTTTTAATATATGAGTGAAATATTACACTTTTTTGGGGAAAAAAATAGCTTCCTCTAAGAGATGAATTGCAACATGAAATTGGGGGAGGTGTAAGGTGCATTTTGGTTACTTTACTAGAAAAGTACATGGTTTTAATTTGATTGACTTAGTGTCTTCAAAACTTGCTCTCTGATTTACTCTCTGAGAAGATGCTAATGAATGCTTTACAGTCGTAGCATGGGTTTCCATCAGAGCTGAAGAGATTTTTTTTAGCGTGTAGGTGCAGGAAGAATGTGATCTCTTTTGTGGTGGGTGCTGCCTCCTTCTCTGTGAATTCTCATTTGTTGAACAGAAGGAGTCTGAGCTCTGCAAGTGTGGCAGTGCACACAGAACTGTTGCATGAACAGGCAGTGCTGTACACTGGATTCCTATACTCTCTCATTGCACATGATGAATTTTTCTCTCTGAATATTCTAATTTTCTGCTTACTGTAAAGATAGCTGGGGGGAAAGGGGTAGTGTTAAATACTGAACGTTATATATTTCTATCTAAAATTGAGGGCCTTATAGATTATTCCACTGAGGTAGATAACGTGATTATGTCAGATACCTTCAATCCAGGTATTTACAAAAAATACATAAAACTATATTTCCATCAATACAGAAATGATTTACAAGTTTTCATCTGGTGATCCTTCTGGTTATTCTGGTCTAGTTCCAACCTCCCTGCCATGAGGCTGTCTGGCAACTTCATTTATTTTACCTATTATCTTTATCAATTATGAGAACTAGCAGAGATTGCATTAAGAGACAGTCATAATGCAATGCTAAGAGCATCCTGTTAACGTTTTCCAGGGATGTCAGCAATACCAGCACACTGGCACTAGGGACTACATCCCACATAGAAAGGCTTTGGTTGACAATTCGGCTGAAGTGCAATGTCAACAACTCTGTCAGGCTGCACGGAGGCGTTTTTCCCAGTGCAGTGACAATACCGACAGTGCGTGCACCCTGGAGACTGGCCATGGCCTTGTGATATTCCCCTCCTATGTAAGCAGAAGGGATATAGACCTCCCAAACCAGAGAGTTTTCAGAAATCTTCCTGAGTGATCTCTTATTGCCAGCCCTGTGGTTTTGCTTTGGGGTGATACACGTCCAGATTTGACCCTGTATTTACCCTGTTTGTAATTTCCTGCAGCTAATTTACCCAAGCCCGACTGGCTCCGGTTTCGCTCACCTCCCCTGGCTGGATAAGCCCCCGTGGCTCCCAGGCCACCATTTTTCAGGGTGAGTAAAGCCACCCTCGGGAATACCCCGCACGTTTCGGGTCCTCGCTGACAGGTCCAGGGGAGGGACGAGCAGGGGCTCCGGGACGCTTCCGCAGCGCTGCCGCCGCTGCTGCGGCACTGCCGGGGCCGGCGGGGCCGCTCTCCCTCCCCCGGCGCTCACCCGCGCCCGGGAGCGGAGCGGCGCGGACGGGAGGGGAAGGGCACAGCCGCCGCCGCCGCAGCCGCTCCCTCCCGCGGCGGCCGGGGGGCGGGACTCCGCGGCAGCGCCAGCGCCGCTGTCAGCGCCCGAGGGGCTGTGGGGGCCGTGCCGGCCGCGGGCAGCTGCGGGCGGCCGCCGGCGCGCAGCGGAGCGGAGCGGAGCGGGATCACCCGCTGCTGGGAGCCGCACCACGGCAAGCACGGAGCAGCGCCGCAGCAGCACCGCGCCCGCGGCGCCGGATCCCCCTCCGCGGTGAGTGAGGCGGGCGGCGGGCAGCGGGCATCGAGCAGCGGGCAGCGGGCGGGCAGCACCGGCCCGGCGGCGCTGCGGGGCCCGTGGCCCTGTGCCCCGGCGGGGCGGCGGCTGCGAGGGGTAACGCGGCCGCAGGTCCCCGGGTCTGAGCCGGGGGCAAGGGGAACTGGGTCGATTTAACAGGTTGAGATGGGCATGTGGTGCGCGGCTTGCTTGGTACCCACATATTTGGCGTGGAGGTAGTCAAGAGCTGGCTTTTTATTAGCGATTTGGTACTGCTGCTATTGCTAATATTGGCTGCTTATGCTATAAAACGCTTCCTAGGAAGCTGGCGTCTTCAGTTGAGTGTCTAATAACTCTCGGTATCCGGCAGTTGCCAGAACTGTCAGGACATACAGTTATTTATCTCCATTATGTTCATACAGATAGTTCATACACATAAGGAAATACCTTAACTGGTTTAGTTTTGTTTGTTTTTTTTTTGATTTTTTTTCCCCATAAGCAAGAATAAGGGATAACATTAAACAGTTTGGGGCATCCTTATGGCTCTAAAGGCAGTATACTCTCCTCAAAGTGGTATTTTCTTAGGCTGCTGGACCAATGACCCTTGCTTTGAAACATTTTATTCATGAAGTTTTCAAAGGGCTGACAGTTCCTTGTGCCAACTTTTTAACTCAATTTTTTTTATCATGTGTCATTTATACATAATGGGACATAATTAATTTTTATTATTTAAGGAATGAGTTTTCTGAGTCTGTCGGGAGGTTGTTTTATCTTTTTGATTTAATGGGTACAGGACTCCTTGTAATTTTAGAAATCTAAATCAGATTATAGAGTTGAATAATTTTGAAAGGGACTACCTAAGGGAAACGTTGTAATTCAAGCTGTTTGTAAGTTTGCAAAGTGAGACTTAGTCAGAAGTCCCAGAAGGGATGAGTAATTGGTTGGGTTTTTCTGGTCTTGTTGCGATTGGGATTTGGGTATTTTTCTCCTGCAGGGCATATGATACTTGCAAAAATCTGTAGCGTTCTGTTAAGTACACTGTATCCTTCGAGGATCATGCAGTAATAAACAAGCAATATTATTAGATACTCATTTTTGTCTTATTTTTTCCTACACTGTGCCCCTTGAATAGCCACCGTGTTCCGCAATACAAAGGCCTTGTATCTTTGTGCATATAAAGTGGTTCAACAGGGTGAAACAACTAATTGATTGTGAATAAAAGTAAAAGAAATCAAATGGCCAAGAACTGAAACATTTGCCATGCTCAGCTGCGTTTTTCCATAGCACTACTTCACAAGCAGGCAAGTTTCAAAATACATTTTTTGTATTCATACAAAGCAGCCTGTGCTCAGAGCACTCGTACGTTCTGGTTTTGAAAACACGCTTAATTATAGGTGTATGCCCTGAAGCCAATGGAAAATTTCTGCAGACTTGCCTGATCCACAAGGATTAATTCTAGCAACTTTTCCATCACTTCGTATAGCCACAAGTTTCTGATGTTGCTGGGATATATGCTTGTAAGCTTCCAGGAAACGAGGCAGTAGAAAACCTTACTGGACACGGGGGCTTGATTCACCCTTCTTCTATTAGGAGAAAGATTCACTTTATTATTAACATGAACAAAAGGCTCGGGGGAGACCTTTGAGCCTTATGTCTTCCAATACTTAAAGGGGGCCTACAAGAAATCTGGAGAGGGACTTATTTATGAAGACAAGTAGTGATGCAACAGGGGGGAATACCTTTAAATGGAGGAGGGTAGATTTAGATGGGGTGTTAGGAAGAAATCTTTCACTGTGAGGATGGTGAGACATTGGCACAGGTTGCCCAGAGAAGCTGTGGCTGCCCTGTCCCTGCAAGTGTTCAAGGCCAGGCTGGATGGGGCTTTGAGCAACCTGGTCTAGTGGAAGGTGTCCCTGCCCATAGCAGGGGGGCTGGAAATAGATGATCTTTAAGATCCTCTCCAACTCAAGCCATTCTGTGCTTCTATTATTTGTTAAATATGTATTGCATTTTTTGGAATGTGGCAGGAAAGGCACTCTGAGTTTCATGTACCCTGTCATGTTCTTACAAGCTGTATTTTCATGCCCCATTATGGAGCTGTAATGTTAGAGAGGTAGTATAGTAATGTTTGAGACTAAAAATCCTGTGCTATGAGGTATATATGTTTGTTTGTTGTTTTTACATTGGAATGGGCAGGAATTTCAGTTTTTCTGTACCTGGCTCTAACTATTTTTAACGGAAACTTTCATTGCTAGTCAAGCGTGAAGTGCTAAAAATAAGTGATGATAAGGTTACAGTGACGTGTTTTTTGTAATGTACAGGTATGTGCTAAGCTCTAAGAATTCTGGGTCCATATAACATTATGCATTTATGTCTTTACATACAGGCAAAGAACAGTTCTGCAGTGTCTGAGGATGGATAAAGACTTCCGCTACTACTTCCAGCACCCGTGGTCTCGCTTAGTTGTGGCTTACTTAGTGATCTTCTTTAACTTCTTAATATTTGCCGAGGACCCAGTATCTCACAGTCAGACAGAAGCCAATGTTATTGTTGTTGGTAATTGTTTCTCCTTTGTAACAAATAAATACCCTGAAGGAGGAGGCTGGAGATTTTTGAAGGTTTTTCTGTGGCTGCTTGCCATTCTCACAGGACTGATAGCTGGGAAATTTCTCTTCCATCAGCACCTGTTTGGTAAGTTACATGATGCTCCTACTGACTTCTCAGTAATGGCTTTCTGACTTCTCCCTTTAGCTTTCTACTCATTGCAATTTTGTAAGCTTTGCTATTAATCCCTCCAACTGTTTAGAGCTGTATAGAACTCAGTGCATCAAAGCTTATGTCATTGTGGAATTTAATGCCGTGTCTACTTATGAGCATAATTCACAATGACTTCATTCAGAAAGACTAAAAATAGTGAAAGCTGGCATGTTTTAAATACTTGGGAGGTCAGTGGTTTTCAGTATTATAAAAATACTTCTTTGCATCTTCAGACAGATTTTTAAATATCATGATTAAGTTTTCTCAGCAATGTGCAGAAAAGACATTGTTCCTTGGGGCAGTGACACCGTGTATTGTCAAAAGGCACATTAAGTGGAAGCAGAGCCTGTTAGTATTGGCAGAGCTGTGCTGTAGAGCTTCCCATGTCAAAACAGGAATTCTAGAGAAGCAGAACCTGTCTGTCTTGTAGTACAGGAGTGACTCAATGAAATGGAAAGGTAGGAAATGGAAAAAAACATGTCAGTAAATACTTTTGTGTACAACATGTGACTAAACTGGGGAACTTCCTGCACATGGACTGACTGAAAGGAATGGAATGACCCTGAATTAGATTCTGAGACTGGGAACTTAGATGTATGCATATAGAGATACAAAATAATCAATAATTGTCTTAACTGAATCATGTAGTGAATGTAGAAAATGTTACATCTGAGGGCTCAAGGCTGTGTCTCAGTTTTAGAGATAAGTAAAAATCATGGAAATGATTACTTCACTCCCATCAGCTTTGTTGTGCTTTGAAACATCTGATACTAGGTGTGTCATTGCTGGTCTGAATAGACTAGTCCTATATTCTCATGCTGGTAAGACTGCAGGATGGATGGTTACTGGAACACGAAGCACATGAGCAATAGGCCATTTGCTTGATCTGTCTTGTTCTATTGAGAGCCACTACTGTTTCAATAAATCAAATGTAAAGCTGTTAGGTCAAGGAATGAATAAGCAAAGCCACATTAAGAGACTTCTCATCCTACAGACTTCGCTTGAAGAACTTATTCTGAAAAATAGTTGCGCATCTTGAAGGCTATTTGGTGGACATTTTAGCATAATGTAATGGTGAATGTAGTATGTCCCCATAAAGAGAACATTTTACCTTACTTCCTTGGCTCTGGAACCAGCACTGGTGCAATAATGTTTTCAATTCTGGCTTCCACAATTGAGGAATTATTTTGCTAGATGGGAAAAGATCAGGGAAAAGTAAGGAAACTGATTATAAAATTGAAAAATAAGCCCTACAGCAAGAGATTGAGAAGATAAAGGTAAGATTAGAGGGTGATTTGCTCAGATTTGACCTGAAGGACAGCGTCTTCAGTCCAGCAAATGTATTGCGAGGTCCAGTGCTTGGAAGTGGCAAATAGCCAGCACTTTCAATTTTTTTAACTGAAAGGCTAGAAAATCAGTGGAACAAGTTGTTATAGGATGTGGCTTCCTCGAGACATGTAAATTTTTCTTTTTTGGGAATATGTCCTAGTCTGATTACAGAATAATTCTCTGTCTTTTGTCTAGGTAGGTTAGTATGATAACTCCTTCAGGATTTGCAAGTGTATATCATAGAGAGGATGTCACTTAACATTAATTTTAAAGCAGCTTGAATCAACATTACTGCCAAAAGGAGAAGGTCTGCCCAGCCTTCAGTGTCTGCTGCTTCATACTTTTATGCAGTTGCTTGGTGAAACAGGATAGGGAACTTACACACATTAGTAGTACCCATATTTTATTTCAGTGAGGATCATATCTCTGATCATACCGATATTTGTGGCAGCACACAGATGGGATCAGCACTGGGAGGAAACTTACAGGCAAGAGATTCCTACCTCTGATGGCAGTGCTGGCTTATGGATATTTATGGTCGTGGTCTGGATTTCCAATATGGGTATAGCTACAAACTAATTGGAGGGTAGCTGCTGCATATTGAGTTTCATGGCAATTTGAACCAATTTGCCACAGTCTTCCCGTCCTAAACTCAGCCACATTGTTTTGGTGCCTCCCTCAAGCCAGCGCTGCTGTTAATGTGACAGAGCAGTGAGCCAGCTCAGGCAGCTGATCCCATGGAAAACCAATTGCTTCTTCTGTCTTCTACAGCAGCTCCTTGAACTGACGTGATCGCTTGAGTGCCAATGCTGATGCAACAGCCAAGGACTGTGCCGCCAAGATAGCTGGGGGCCATGGCAGCCCTACCTTGTGTTGGCTCGAGTGCTGTGGGACTGCACCCACACAGTGTGTCAGTGGAAATATGCTGTTGCTTTTGATACACTGCGAGCAGATGGCAGTCTGTGTGACTGAAGAGCTGACTGTATTGCTGATTGATGTGGCCGTACTAGCTGTAAACTAGTTAGTGTGGATAGCGATCGCATTGATGAGATGATGATGTGGGTTTACAACTTGAGTGTCTCTCTGGATATCCAGAAGATTTATACAGCCCATGGTAAAATCTTTTCTGCAAGTTGTGACTATTTTAATGTCTTCACTGCCTGGAAATCCCTCATTTTATTGAGATCCTCATTGAGTATGCCCTCTGGATCTTCTGGCGTCAAGTGCTTTGGGAATTCACCTCTTTATTTTTTCTGATGCCCCTGGTCTATCTTTTTAAGTAGCTGCTGCTTCTGTATTTTTATTTTCTTTTTTTTTCTGTTTAATCCTTTATTTCTTTTTCATGTATAATTGCTTGGAACCGTGCTATTTTTAATCTTTGTTCATTTTTTATTTTTTTCTCTGCTAAATTCTGTTTGTAGAGGAAATTGTGAGTGGTTGTTTTTTGTGTCCTGGATATAACTTCCTGCAGTCAGGTAACCAAATAGCACCAGTCAATCTTCCCCTGTCAGATCTTGGCTCACAGTGAAGACTGCAAATTGAAATTGAAAAGCATTAGTCTGCACATCTCACTTTAGATGAAGAGAAGTGGAAAGGATTTTCTTTCTCCATGCCCTTCCTGTTCTTTTGTCCTGTCTTCTGTATTTCTTGCTGCTGAGTTTGCCTATGAACTAGAAAAATAGTGTAGCTAGGACTATGTTGTAATACAGTTTACCATCTGTGACAGCCACTGTCTGGTAGCCATGACCATCATGAACTATAAAAATAATAGAAATAAGTTCAAGTATGTTGGGTTTCTAAAAGTGCAAAGAGAAGGGTGCTGGAAATGTTATTTAGGCTTCATCTCTCGGAGTTCATGGAAAGATAACAGAGCAGGTAAACTATTTGTTGAGAAATAAAGATCTCAACTAGAGGACATGGTGGGATGTTTTCTGTTGATAAGGTTCAGTGCAGCCCTTGAACAATAACCTCTTCAGGGACTCCTTCAAGGCAGTGTTCGTGACTTAAAACAAGATTAGGAAACAATTCCATTTCTTGCTCTTCAGTCAAGAAATAACTTACTTTGTTTGATAAACATCTCCCATGATAAATAATTCCAAGTAAAAGAGCCTTTATCTAGTGCATTCTTTATGCCTTTATGGCATATGGTCAGAACAAATGGTATTTTAAAATTGTCTTTTGGCTGTTACCCACTATATTTTTTTGATTCATTACCAAGTGTATCTTCTATTTTGTTAAGTATTGTGTTTGCCATGCTTTTCATTTTGCAATGGAAAACAAAAGGTCATAGATGAATATTGGAAGATTGGGGAAATAAAAAGTAAAGATATATATATCCCTGTTATTTTTTGTTCTGCACGAGGGAGTTACTTGAGGCAGGAAAAGTGGTAATTTCTTTGTGCTTACTTAGAGGTTTCTTGGTTTTTATTTTCTGCTTTATGAAAAGTGAAAGAGCATACAAACTGACCCCATCTGATGACACTATGCGCTCAGAAAATGCATTCAGATCTTAAATCCAGACTTAAATTCTTGAATAAGTTCTTACACATTTTTCTTGTTGCTCTGGGGCACTGTCTGGAAAATAACAGTATTTAGTGTGTAGAAATTGTATGTTTTAATCGACACCTTCTTAACATTTGTACAGTTGCATTTCTGTACTCCAACCTCAGGCCCGAATTCTGAGTTCAGTGGGAGGTTTTTTGACCCAAAGTTCAGGCTGTGCCTTTTGCATCAATGCATATGAATATGATCAATCATATACATTTAAAATAACCTTTCATTTGAACAGACTTTTAGTACTGTGTATAACTGGGCAGTATTCTTGGAAAAATAATATCTTAGTTTTTTTCAGTCCAGCATATTGGCTTTGACTGCTTTCCATGTGTAATAATCCTTATCTTATCCTGCATATTAAATGCACCAGTTTTTTAAAACATGCTTACTACAAAACTTGCATGTGTCTACCTGCCCATTTCTCTAACTCTTAGTGATTATAAGACCTATTAAAATCTGATTAAAAGCCTGTTATTACAGAGGCTGGATTTTATTCAATTGCCAGTGAGTGTGCCTAGGTTTATATTTGTTAAGTTCCTTTTAAATGATGGGGAAGGAAACTAAATACTTATATGTGTTATAACAAGTTATGGAAAACAAGATATATAGAACTAAAGCCGTATTTCTTAAAACAGGGGAATCATCATAATACTGCAAGCAAATTAGAGAAGTTGAATAATGTTGAATTTAATGGGCTGCTGTCTTACAAATGTTCACAGTTAGCAGTTTGCTTAGAATTAAATGGTAATCTGAGCTTCACAGACACTGGAGTGAATAAATAAAGCAGTCATTGTAAGAATTGCCCTGAGATGTGGGTACACACTAATGTTGTGGATTTTTTAATGGACAGTAGTGCCATGCTGGGAGCAATTTCATGATAGACAGTTTGAAACAAAACACCCACTGAGGACGTGTTATCTTTTTGTCAAACATCTTTATCTGGAAGGCTTTAAAAGATATTGAAAACCTATTGAAAACAGACTTCTCAGTGTCTGATTTTATGCTGAAAGTTAAAGTGTGTACCAACTGAAGCAATCAATGTATGCAAATTG